ATAGGGATTCGATCCCCAGACCATGGGAAGCAAAGGCAAGTGCATTACTCCAAAACTAAACCAGAAATGGTCTGTCAGTTGCTAAGGTTTGATAATAAAGCAACATCGACTTCTTACGATTGTGTGGGAAAAGTTGTTTACGGGAAAAATCAAGTTCTCGACTAAAAGACACATGCTCTCGCAAAACTGAAAAACAATTTTTTTTCCAAATTTGCATCGCTTTTTGCGTGGTTTGATAAATAAATCTGAGAAAAAAACTGAATTTTAGGAACAATTTACACTCATTCTAAAAAAAAAACAAATTGGGCAAAGTTTTATTGTAGAAAGAAAATGTTTACAAAACCAAAAAAATTCTAGAAAAAACTCAAAAAAAAAATTCAAATTTTTCGTAAAAGGTTTTGATTCCCCAAATGGTATGAATATTTTGAAAAAAAACCTAAATTTCACGATTTAATCTAGGCTCAAATAAGCTATTAGAAGCCTGCTCGCTCGGTTTATACGCTTGATGTTGCGTGGAAAACAAATTAGACAAAAACACACTCGATTACAAAGTTCCTCCCCATTTTGCTAGGGTGCTTTTGATTCCATTTTATTCATGACTTTCTCAAACGTTTAAAAATTATGCTTGAAATTAACAGTTGAAATCAAAAAAGATTTGTCGATGATTTATTGATTGATTTCATTCAATGTATTGACCTTAAAACGGCAAAGATTTTCATGGAAGGTTGGCTGGAAAAACTAGAAAAAGTATTTCGTACCGTTAAAAAAGTTTTTTTTAATACCACCGCTCGAAAAAATGAGTTAATGTTTTTTGTTGTCTAGGCATAGAAACTAGCATTCTAAAATTTTTCGGAAAACAATTCTCGGAAAGGTTGTTGTGCATCAAAAATTAAGCATTGCTTTCTCAATGGCGCCTTGTGTAGGTCCACCAAAATGATTTTTCGAGCTTTCTTAAAAACTTATAAAAACCTTATTCAGCCCAAAACATTCAGTGGCACCAGCAAAAAAAGGACCGAAATGACCTTTTCAGGTAATATTTGGAAAGTTTGAATAAAAATTTTCTTTTTTGTTCGCGCTCGCACTTGAACTTTTCTCACTGTTTCCCACCTCAAATTGGGCCACCAAAGCCAATTCTAGAAAAAATTAAAATTGGTCGGCAAAAATAGATGTCGTAAAATAGTACCGATTGGTGGACCATAGAATGGTCACGGGTTTGAGTCCCTGAAGAGTCGCTGAAGCTCTTCGGGGACTCAAACCAGTGACTATTCTATGGTCCACCAATCGGTACTATTTTACTATTCTATGTTTTTAAAATGCCATAAAAAACTTCTCTCAATTGTCAAGAATCATATGAACACTCCTAATTTGCCAGTAATGCAGAGCTTTTTGGTATATTTTTACAAAATTGAGATCTTCACAAAAGGAAGCAAAATTAATTTTGTAATATAACACTACTCGCATGCATTAAAACACAGAAAAGAACCTTTTCCGCAAAGAACCTTTCTAAAGATATCATTTTTCTTTATTAATTAACCTTTTACTAGAATATTTCCAACAGCAGTTGCAGGCATTCAGATTTAATTCACAAACCTTAGATTGCTAAATCGTGAAACTTAGTACGCGCAAAGAAACGCTGTTTCTTGGCTAGCAAATAGAAAAAATACTGACTGATTATTTTTTAACACTTCATTTGTTGATTTTGAAAAACAAAAATATATGAATTTGAAGCTCATTGAATTTCAGGAACAATTAATGTCTGACATTTTTTGATGAAATTAGCCCTATTTTAATTCCACTTTCAAAATTAAAATCGATCAAAACTTGCGTTACCATTACACTTTTACTGTTCGATAGTGGAGTTTGCTTTTTCTTAAGAAAGAAAACGATCTGAATTTAAAGGGAAATCAAAAACCAAACTACAGAAACAGAAATTTGAGCTTGAACAAACTTTAAGACTTTTCCTAAAAAAAATTACCAAGACCTATATTAAAGTATTCACTCTTAAAAAGTGTCTAAAAACGGCGCCGCAAGAAAAACGTTATTATGGCATATAAAGCTGCTTTAAATACGATATCGCACACCGGCCATCTAGTAGTCTAAAAACGTGAAATTTTCAAAATCATTTTATTCACACAGAGGCGAAGTTGCACTTCGCATACACAAGCAAAAACATGACCGATAACGCTACTGGGAAAAAGTGAATGAGTAAAACTTTGAGTCTACAAAATTTCTTAAGTGACGCACACCAATTCAGACGCATTAGCAGTAGCAGTCAATTTGAAAAAAGAAATTTATCAACAAACATGCCTCAATTTATAGATCGGATGCATTCAAACTAGTATACGAAAACGTTCATTAAAAACAACCGTCCCTGCCCAGGTTGGAACCCTTTTATTTTGCTGCTGTCTCCTTCCCTACCTCTACACTACAGATCCATGATGCCTTGAAGTTAAAGTGCTAATTGTAATATAAAAGTCTGGGTTTATATCCTTAGCATTGGCTGTACTAATAGCGTGATCAAAATGAACATTTTCAAAATGAACAAATTTTGTCGCAATAATATTTGCAACTTAGGTTGAAAAAAAAAGAAAGTTCATGCTATAACCTAAGCTACGCTTGTGTAAATACTGGGAAAGTGTTTTTGAATCAATTCTGGAAGAGCTTCACTCTGATATCTCACTCGGAACCAACCGCCGTTTTGTTTGCTCGAAGACATTTAAGCGATTAAATATGAGTTATGAACACATTATGAACTACTCAAACCTTAGTTCATTATGATCGTTGAGAGTTTAATTTATTTCACAGAAGCGAAGCGGAGCTTCACACCACTTCCAATACAACAATTAAAAAAGTGAGTCGGAAAAGGTCGAAAAAAAACTAGGTGAAACAATTTTTTTTAAATCTTGATGAAAGAAAAGTAGAGGCCAACTGAAGGTGGAGGTTTCTATTTCATATTTTTTGATTTGTCATACTGATGCGGGATGCTATGGATAATTTCAAATATTCGACTTTGCCCAAAATCTCAGTTGTTTTTCTACTAAAATAATTGAGATAGAATTTTTTTCAAAACAATAACATTTTTGCGAAAAGAAAACTTAAAAGTCGCCGCTTCTGCAGGAAAAATTCTTATCGCCAGTTTTTTTTATTGAACTTTATCTCAGATTTGATAGGGTAGTTTTTAAATAAAGTTTGAAATTAACAGAACGGTCGAAAATTCAAAAACTCAGCTTTCCGAATTCCATGATTTTTTTCTGCAAAAATAGGTCCTGTCGACTTAACCAGAGAAAATTACCAAAACCAGGATCCTCGATTGAACAATTGATCTAAAAATGGGCAGTTTAGTTTTCGAGAAAAGTCAAATAGTTTCAAAAAACGGTACAAAATAACAAAACTTGACTTTTCCAAGGGCCATAAAATTTCGTGTATAAATAATGGGGTAGATAATTATGCAGGACAACTTTTCAAAAACTGTTCTTTTGACTTAACCCAAAATCTCGAGAAAGGTCAAAGAAGTCCAAAAAACGGTCAAAAAATCAAGTTTTTGACTTTTCCCAGAGCCTAACTTTTTGTGTAAAAATTTTGAGAACAGACATTTATGCAGGGGAGCTTCCCACATTCCTTTGTTAGAAAACCCAAAACTTCAGATTTAGGTAGAAGGTTTTCGAGAAAACTCGAAAAGTTTTTAAAAAATTGTTAAAAATCGAAAACTTGAATTTTCGGATGGCGATAACTTTTTTGTGAAAGCATTTGGGAGTGACCACTGTGGCATAGAAGCTTTTGACAACCCGTTCTCTACATTCAACTAAAAATCTTAGCAATACCCCGCAAGCGCGGCATTGCAAGCTAGCAAATCATAAGGAAACGGAAATAATATAATTAAAAAAAAAATTGAAGAAAAATTTAAATAATTTCAGAACAACACAGCCAATATTATTCAAATTTGCAGTACTAACCAAGTGGTCACTAAGCTGACAAGTATTGAGACACCCATTGAGTCGAAAACAAGTAAATACCATAATAAATTGTTGTCATAAAAAATTATAAACAACCAAGTCTAAAAACTTTTGAAAATACCTTAACCAAGAACACTTGATTTTTCAAAAACATCAATCATTTTTTGATATTAAGGCGACTCAAAAAAAAACAACGAAGCCAAAAAAACATAAGCCAAAACCTTTCAAGCCAAAAACACTTTTAAGCGTTCAAGCCGAAAAAAAACGAAGAGGTAAACATTCGTCAGGACTATTAATTTTACAAATTACAGGAGTTAATAAAATTACTTGCATCTACGATGGAAAATGCTGACAACCAGTAGCGGCCTCCCCTTTGTACTATTTTGAAATATTCATTTTTGGCTGACTGACCTTAAAGTTTTTCTAAAGGCGCCTTTGGCGCCAGCCTACACTAATTTTGAGGGGGCAGCGCGCAGAAAAAAATGCATTTTTTTGGTCGAAATTTTCCAAAAAGTGCCTTAAAAAAAAACTTTTTTGGCCTTTTTCTAAAAAAAATTGGCTGCGGCGCAGAAAATTTGGGTCTTTACAGTGGTTTCGGAGAGCTCATAAAATCAATTTGGTCGACCTAAAAAAAAGTCGACAAATTTTTTCAAACAGTTTTTTTGGAAATCCGCCCCCCCCCCCAGAAATTCCTATATCCGCGCCTGCTGACAACACAAGAAAAATCTCCGATGTGGCAACTAAGCCGACAAAACATAATCAGATTAACAAAACTTTGACAATCCAATTTTTCCCCGGAAAAAATTTCAATTTCAATCATACTGAGAAAAAAGGTCTGGCCGGGACTCTAACCCCTGACCGTATTTGCTGGCAGTAGATCAAACTCAATTATATTAGATTGCTCCCATGGTGAAACTGGTTTTCTTCACCGGCTTATGCTGGCTGAAATTTGATTGAACCTTGACTTTGGCCTAATTAATGCTCGTTTCAGATGATATCACTCAAATTAAACAACAGATAAATTTATAACTTCCAAAAATATACAACTCAAATCTAAAATCTGTATAAACTTTGTAAAAAACAATCAAAACTATTTAAGACTTTCTAGTTATTTAGTCTCGTTAGAGCCCAGGCATAGGCACAGTGTATAGGCACAGTTAATTGGGGTAAACATGTAGAGGACTTTTGTTCACCATTTGCGCGAGAATTAGAGCTTGTTTAATACCTTGACCCAAAATTCAGCTTCCCATTTCGATTTTCACATCGGCTTCATCGACTTGCCTGGCATTATTGGACCAAACATCTACAGTTGAGCACTGATTAGTGTCAGTATTCTCGGCAACTTGTTCACTACTCCACTGGTTGAAGTCTTCCTCAGTTTCAGATGGTGAATTATCGTACGGGTGGATCCATTTTACGAACGACTTGCAACCACTTTCATCGCAAACTAGCTCTATTCCTGCGAACTCCTGAAACGACAATAGCAGCTGCAATTTTTGTCTAATTAGAAATAAATGTAGTTCTTTTACTCATTTTCAAAACGAAACCTTAAGTCTTCTTCATAAATTGAAAAAATCGGGGGGTTTCAAATTATTGCATAGATGCATTTTCGAGTCTGAGTGAATAATAAGCATATCTGCTCAATATAATAAGGCTTTTATATGATATGTCACTCGACTCCATCTGAAATTTTTTGTGGTACCTGATTTTGCTAGGGAAGAAAAACAAACCCTAAACTATAGAACACATTTGGGTGTTCGGAATAGTAAATTAGCCGAAGTATAAATAAAACAAAAACAAGCCGAGTAGATATGTACGGTGGTAGGTCAATAAACCGAAGAGCCAACAAGTCGTAAGTTAGATTACCATTCCAACAAGGCGAAAATTAATAATGCTATGCAACAACATATCAGATGGACCAAGTTAAAATCCCCGAAGGCTGTTTGGGGAGGATGTTAACTTGGTTCTAAGTTGAGAATTTCCAACCAATCATAATCGAGCATTCTACATGCAGTGCTTAGCAAATTCAATCCGAATTAAATGCTGGGGTGGAAGATCTTACGGGGGGGGGGGGTGGTTACTTAATCCCAGAAGATTGCCGGTTGTTATGAAATTGTTTCGTTCCTAAAAATCTGATGCAACTTCGACTTCAAGAAGATATGGCGATTTGTTGAAGGCCCGTCATGATAAACACTGATTCATGCGCGAATCCTTTCGCGCCGTCGAATACCTTTCGTTCCGGAGCGAAGCAGAGCTGTTTGTCAATTTCGCTCTACTTAGCAACTCCGCGTTAGAAAATATTCCTCTTTTGATATTCGATTGAGCCTACTCAATTAAAAATTTGACCGAACTGTCTGACTGAAAAATCGTAGTAATTTTGGCCGAATTGTTTGTCCCCCTTTAACCTAATTGTTGGTGGACCAATTTACATGCGTACGCCAATACTATTTACATCAGATAAAATATACACACCGCTGTGGCTCTAAGCTTGAAAACATCTTCCAACATCTGAACGTCTCCTTCAATTTGCTGCTTCAAAATGGGAAATTCTAGAAACTTCTCCAATGGCATCACTGCCTTCTGAGGCTCATAGACTAACTCGGCTAATAATTCACTCTCGCGCGTGAGTCTGGAGATGACGTAACTCATTTCATGGATGATCCTTTGAGTTTGGCTGCGCTCATCAAACGGGTACAAAACGTCAACAACTAAAAATAATATTTGTCTTTATGACTCAATTCGACAAAAAAGACCATTATTCGATTTGATAACTCTTTCTAATAGGATGCGTAAATTCAATCAAATAAGAACAAACTTTACTTTTGCCACTAGTTTTAAGATTCGCATGCCTTTGCTTATGAGCAAGATGTAACCAATCAAAAATCGGCTATTTTTTTCTGACTTTAAATGTCATGTCAGCTTCCTGTCTTGTCTTCCTTAATGACTAGCATCATCTATCACAAAACGGATCCGATCATCTAGCAACCACTACCAATATGAGACTAATCAAACATTTATGATTACACTAACAATAAGACTTCAATTTAACCCATCTTGAATCTAGAATGTAATCCAGCAAAGGATTACGTAATAAGGATTCCTCCAAAACCGCTTCAAGTGTAAAGTAAGACAAAGCGGTTTTGCATTTTGTAACCAATTTATATTTGTGAGCATTTTTTTAAACAAAAATATGAATTTTAAAATTCTTTACTTAACGCATCTTTCGGCAAGGAGAAAATTTTGGCAAACTTTCAGCATCAAAGAATGTGCTATAGATACTGTTGTACCGCCGCAACTAACTGGTTTCATATAATTGGCCATCAGACTTGATTCTCTCCTCTTCTTCCAATTGTTGATGTTTTAGGGTGAAAAGTGCCATTTGAGAACATCCTCCCGTCACCTGTTCGCGGTCTTCTTTCGACTGAAACCCCAGGAAACCTGCAGTAGTTTTTACTATTATAATAATTTATTAACTTTTATTCTGTTGATTTAAAAATTCTTAGATATACTTCAGATCTGTTGGAGCTTTTGCTTTTTAATTGCGCTTAGAGCTTATGAATACTTCATTTGAGTTTTTTGGAGAAATAATTTGAATATTAGAAACAATGATTCTATCTCACCTATCTGTGATATCTCGACGTCATAGCCATACTTATTGCAGCAGTTGTCACACCACTGTTTGAACTGTTCTCTGCTCCACTCGAACTTGTGGTCCCAGTGTCTGAACTGACCTGGCGAGAAGCCAAAGTACTTGTTGAACTCACCATTCGGAGTGGTGATAAGAGCTACCTAAGTAATGACGGATCTAAGTAAGACTCCAGTTGAAAAAAAAAACATTCAACAACTTTCTATAGAAATATAACAATCAATTCAATGAAATTTTGCTTCATCCAGAGATTTTGATGCAAAAACTCTTGGTGTTTTTGCATCAAGAGTTTACGGCTCGGTTTCAATACTAACTTTTGGTCTGATAAAGCCGAAGATAGTTTTTGGAACTTTTTCGAGCACGTCCGGATACAGATGCTCAATAAGTTCTATTGCAGACACCATGTCCACGTCTCGCAACCGATCGTCTAGGTTAGCTATCGAGCCACAGAAAACTTGCGCATGCAACTGTATATTTCGAGGTTTCACAATGAACTCGTGCATCAAGGGTTTGGCTCGGTATCTGCAAGCAAATTTCTGAGCTTAAATATTTACTAGCGCAAGACTCGCACCTACGGTGCTTCGAATAGATCGTTGAACGTATCAAGAGCTTCCTAAAACATTTAATTCAACCGTCAAGACAAAGTAAGCTCATCTTTCAGTGGTTTCTATTTCATTAAATAAACTTTTTTAAAACCAACTTTTAGGCTATTTTTAACCAAAATGGTCATATCTCCAAAACTACTGAACTTCATCAGATATGAGACTTTAACAAAAAAATGACGCTAAAAAGCCGACAGCATAACGGCTGTTTAAACGTTTCGATATTTGGAAGAAGGGTATATTTGTAAACCTTGGGTGTACCCTGACAGCACCGCAAGATAGGGTTGCGAATTTTGAAATTTTGTTTTTGGGAAAAAAGGAAATCATAAAAAACGCTAAATCTCAGAAACCAAGATCTTGCGCAGTAAAATTTGGAAGCCAGATTTGCAACCTCTGAGTGCACGCTGATAGCATCACACCATAGGGTTAAGATTTTCAAGTTTGATCAGTTTTTTTTTCAGTATGTTTTTTTGAAAAGACTATCCAAAACGCCATATCTCGAAAACCAAGATTATTTAAGAAGACATCAAAGAGAGCAGATTCACTTCCCTATATCGTAACATGACAAAACTCTAATATAGCGTTGAAAATTCCCATTTCTACCAGTTGTTTTAAATAGGTTTTTTTTACTTATTGAAAAAATTATGAGAAACGCCATATCTCGCAAAAACTTTTTTGACCAAAAAACGTTAGAGGCCATAAGATTTCAGCAGTACTATGTCATGGCTAGATTTGCAGCGCCTCAGTTTACCCTGGAACCATCCCACCATAGAGTAGAGACACGAGTTCCATCAATCTTTTTTGATTCCAAACGCCGTTTGAAGGCCAAATTTGCAACTATTTAGTATAATCTGACAGCACCCCACCATAGGGTTGAGAATTTTAAGTTCGACTTGTGTTTTATATCTAAACTTTTAGTAAAAAAAACCAAAGATAGAAATCGACATATCTCGAAAACCTAAAGGATTTGTGCAGTCATAAATGGAGGGAAGACTTGTAACTCCTGAAAGTAACCTGACAACATTTCACTACAGGGCTGAGAGTTTTCAGTGGGGTTAGTTTTTTAATGTTTTTTGAACAAAAAAATAAAAACCATGGATTACGCGAAATCTCGATGACTACAAAGATTTGAGCATTCATATTTAGACGCCAGATTTGCAAACTATGATAGTGCCCTGACAGCGCCCGACTATAGGTTTGAAAATTGCTATTTTGCTTAAGAAAACTGTGAAACAAAAATTTTGGAAAATTTGCATTGCGAATACAGGAAAAAAGTAGACTTAAAGCATTGCCGCTCTAACAGAATTGTAAACGTCGACTTGAGAAAACATTTTAACCCTTGTTATGTTTTGACCTTTCAACATATCATTATACTGATTTCTTAAACATGTGCCAAGTGAAATTTCTGAAGCATTGCAATTTACGATACACTTAAGCGTGCAAAAATAATTTCAATAACAAACCAAAATATTACATTGAAAAAGCTTAAGCATGTCATCACCGGTACTTCTTAAACATGTTTCCAAAGAAATCCCACAGAAATAATTTAAACAGAGATAAAAATTAAGTACTTATATTCGAACTTTCAGATTCGTTATTGCAAAAAAGTATTAATCTACAAGAACTCCGAAGATAATTTTAAAAAATTGAAAAGCTTGGATACAAACTAACAAGCACTAATAACATAACCATTATCTACTATTCTTACTACGAAACTCCTCATTAATGGCTTAAAAAACATCTATCAGTTTTTTTTGTTTGAGTATAACGTTGAACGTACCCATGAAGTCTCAATAGTTCCTGGTCAATATCGACTCCAACTAGTCTTTCCAGGTTCAAAATGTTCTTATACATGATCAACATCTTGCATTCTGCACAGCCAAAATCAGCCACACTTTTCACCTTGGACTTCTTCGCCACGTCCAGGGCAGCACTGTACCTCTGTCTGAACACCGGCGGACTAAATCTGATGTTGTTCACACTCTCCTCGTCATCTTTGTCAACTTCAGCAGATGGTTCAGATGTGTTTTCAGTCATCGATTGTCTGAATTTTCAAAATACCCAGATTTTCGTCTCAGAATAGCGAAACATGTCAAATGAAATGTCATTTTTCATTTTTTTGAAAACCTATTTCAGAAGCTCGAATATATTTGATTCTGTATTCTGAGTCAATCGAAGTCGATAGGGTCAAATTTGTTGACCAGTTCGACCAAGCGAACCCCCCTGCCGCCCCTCCCAAGCAAATAAAAGACGAATTTTACAATTAATTGGATAACAATGCAAAAAAGTCCAATTACAACCGGGTATGTTTTTAAATCAATTTTTTAACGGGCTGATAACAATTCAAGTTGTTGTTCCGACTTTCGAATTCAGTGACGGAATATTTGTGCTCGGGATGTTTTTTTCTTCAGACAAATTTCGACTTTTTAACCAGCAATTTTTGACGAAGTTTTAATTGATCAATCGAAAAATATCGTTGCCTTGAGCTCAAAATTAAAAATATTGATTGAAATTCGCGTCTTTCAATTTGCGAAAAAGCGAAATAACTAAGTGAACTTTATCCCCCTAAATCAATTTGGGGGGTAGATTGTTCATATGGTCCTAGGTCTTTTCGCAAGAAGCACAAAAATTTCCCACCATATTCTTTCGTTAAAAAATTTCAAACATATTTTTTTTGCAAATTGCGTTATTCTTTGATTTCGTGTGATGATAGAATCTAAATGAAAGCCTAAAACTTCGATAGTAAAAGTAAATTAGGTACAATTGACGACAATTTGCCACATCGAAAAATCATCACATAAATATATTGAAAAAATCAAAAAGTTTTTTAACATTACGAGGCCAAACTGTGAACTGGATAGGCGCACAATTTTGTGTCTGTATGTTCCAGGATTCCAGAGACAAGTATTTGAACATGTTCCAAAACGTAAGTTGATTCCACTTACAAGATTTACGTGGATTCCGCGTACATATACTTGTAACGTAAATTTTGTCGGTACATTTAATTTGTTGCGGATTCCGCAACAAGCAAATATAGCTAGTTGTTCTGGATTCCGCAACTGTAAAACGATTCCGCAAAATGTAAGTGGAATCCGCAAATGTAAGTGGAATCCGCAAAATTTGTAAGCGGAATCCGCAAACTGTAAAGGAATTCAGAAATTTGTTTATTACTCAACTTGCATATGCACTTGCGGAATTTAAAAGCAAGGACTTAACCATTGTCAGCGGAATCCACGAACAAAACATTGGTCAACTAAATCGATGGATGTCACACTTTAGTATTTGCAAGCAGTTTTTGCGATCATAGTTTTGGAAACAACACCGAATAAATTCATTGGGTTAATTCGGTTAATTCATTATTGGGTTAACATATCGCCGAACTAGGTCAGTATTTGGGATTCAGTAATTGAGATTCAGTATTTGGGATTTTGTATTTGAGATTCAGTATTTGGGAGCGTGAATTCATTTCATTTTGTTCACAGGGAGTAAATGATCCATTTAAATAATTTGAGTAAATTAGTTTTAGATAAAAATTACCAAAATTTGAATTACAGCAGAATTAAACTTCAAGATCAAAACACGAATATATAGTCTTGAAAATGTTGCCTTATTAAACTATGTTTTGGTTTCGCATTTTGAAAATATTTCAAAATGGCTAAAATAAAACTTTTATTTCTATTGAATGGCTTGAAATGAATTGATGATTAAGTTTACAGGAATTGAGATTGATGCAAGAATTGAGATTGAAGTTAACCTTTGTAGGAATTGAGATCGAAGTTGGCTAATTGACCAGAATTGAGATCGAACATTTGGCTTTCAACTGGTAGCTGATCAACGTGGTAATTAAAAAACATTGTTTTAAAAGCTTCTACACATAGATATATGTAAACGGAATCCGCAACCAAAATGCGGATTCCACTTTTATTTTGCGGATTCGACTTACAATTTGCGGATTCCACTTACAGTTTGCGGATTCCGCTTACAGTTGCGGATTCCGCAACAGCTCAATTCAACTATACACATGTCTCGTTATTTGTGTGGATTCCACAAACTGTTCTGAATTCCGCGAATACGATTGCGGATTCCGCAAATTCGCCTATTTTTGGAGCGATTTTGAACGGTACAGTGTTTTAGGTATTTGTTTGTGGAATCCAAAACAGCAAAGAAGATCAAAGAAAAGTAGCTAAGTTGCGGATTCCGCGACAAATCTGATTTGGGCCTGTTGCTGATCCGCTTACAATGCACAGTTTGGCCTCTTAATGAATTTTTTGCAGATTTTTTTTCGTTCTTCAAATAATAAATAATCTTCAAAATTATTTTACATGGGTAAAACTAAATTATATTTAATTTTTTCAGTTTATCTTGAAACTCACGACTGAAGGTGCTTTAATATGATATACTACTCGACTCATTCTGATGATTATTTGTGGTACTTGATTTTAAGTGGAAAAAAACAATCAAGAAAAAAAACTAAAACAGACCCGAATACAAAGTTTCTCCCCATTTTCAATGGTCGTGCTTAGAAATACACAACAAACGTAGAGATCCTATGATTTATGTTTTGATCGCGAAAGTAGGAGAAGAGAGTTTTCACAAAAATTTCAGCAGAACTTTGTTGAAAACTTTATGGTACGCCCAAATTCAATTGCTGAGTTGATTCAATCAAAAAATGAGCAAAAATATCAAAATGAGCTAGCATATATTGCTGCGCTTTGTTTCAGCATTTTGTCTTTGGATTCAACAACAGCAAAAAAATCAACGAAAAAGCACGCCGCATTTCACAAATCCTTGTCCAGTTTTTTTGCGGAATACCGACAGTCTTTTTGCGGAAAAAGACAGTTTAGCCTCGTACTGTAATGAGACCACCCAATGTAATGTGCTCCGATTTTGATAGCTTTTTATGATTTTACATTCAGAGAGAAGCAAAGTTTGAAGAGACTTAAATACAAGCAACAAATTCCCACAACTATGATACCCGTGCCAAAAACACTGATGTTCAACCGAACGGCGATTCAACTCGATAAAGTGGACATCTAACTCGCAATAACTTTAAGGGAAACTTGTTGCATTTTGCAACAAGGGTCGACTTCATTGGCTCCTTCACTACGAAGAACAACGGGGCGCATTCCATGCGAATAGCTGCTCTTCACTTGCATGGTTAATCTAGCAATACAAGCCGATATCTGCAAGTTCATAATAGCCGAATGCACTCAAGCTTTCACAACTTTGTTCGGAGCGAACAGCGAATTCGAGCAACACCCCCAGTAGTTTCAGAAACCAAAGCAGTTCGAAGACCAGAAAGAAATTCTTTGATGGAAAAGAAAAACTTAACAACCCACCACACCACACTCCGGGAGATCTTGAAAACCATTGTTAAATGCTTCAAGGGCCGCTATTACAAGTTAATCGGATCACACGATATCACTGAAGAAATTTGGAAAATATTTGGCAAAAAAATACAAACCAGGGAATCTTAACTGCTGGCAAAAAAGTCATCTGACCTCAAACTTGGACTCTCGCACAGAACCATTTTCTCCTGGGAAGACACTAAACGATCCTGCCAGAAGAATCTGATTATTTATGTTCCAACCATTGAACTTTGTATTCGGGTGTTTTAGTTTTTTCCACAATAACTTAAGTACCACAAATAATAATCGGAATGGGTCGAATGACATATCATAATAAAACTTTCTCGGTCGTGATTCGAACGACGTTGGACAAATATTATTTCTCAGTGTCGAGAACAACTCGTTTGAATAATTTGGACTAATTTCGAGCGATAAGATTAGCGAGCAGTCTTACTTTGTTTTCAACCAAAAACATTTACCAGAAATAATCAACGTACTGGGTGAAGTGATTTATCCTATTAAAGCCCTTTCAGTCTTGATTCGAACGACATTTTAAAATGTTCAAAACGTTGTCACAATGTCGAGAAAAACCGGTTTGAAATATTTGGAGTTTAGTCTAATTTCGAGCGATTAAAGCAAGCGAGCAGGTGTATTATAGAAGGATAAGCCACAAAACTTTAATTTAACTTTTTTTTGAAATTTTTAGTGCTATTTTTGGAACAAAATTTTCACAATTCAAAAAATTCTGCAAAAAATTGCTACAAAAATTTTAGAAAATTAGTCAATTTCGACAAAAACTGACGCTCGATTTGATTATTTTCCCGTGACTGTCGAATACGCCTAAATTTTAGGTTTTAGTCAGATCCTTTCATCACACCACGCTAAAAAAAAACAAATAATAAATTTACAAAATCATGAAAGTATATTTTGAAGTTTTTAGTGCCAAATTTAAAATTGTAACAAAGATTTTAGAAGAGATTTTTTTTTGAATTTTGTTTTTTTTTCTAGTCATTTTCGACAAAACTGATGCCCGCTTTGACCATTTTACTCAGACAGTCAAAAATGCTTAAATTTTAAGCTTTCGTCAGATCCTTTCATCACACCACGCTCAAAAAAAAACAAATACTAAATATGTTTTTTAAAACATGGTCGGAACATTCTGTGCTAATTGTACATCAACCGGCTATCTTTCTTTTTTCGCTGATTTTATGTTCTGATCCAAAAAAGCGTCATTCGAATATAACACCACATGCTCTCAGTTACGCTCTGCAAATTCTGAAGTTTCTTTCCATGAACTTAACCATTTGTAAATGTAATGAATTGTTCACCAAGGAATTGTTAATCTCGGTACTCTTACTCTAATACAATATCTGTTTTCACGAGCAATTCATTGAAGAATAACTTCGTATGCTGCTAAACACCCCCAAAAATCCTTGCAATGCTGATATAGACCTCATTGCACAAGCACACGCCTTCAAACACACGCAAGAAAAAAAAACTGCTCTTTGATCATTTTGACAGGCTTGCAGGAATTTAACTTAAACTTAAACAAATGAACTTAATCAGCCGGAACACTTTACACAGAGGCGAAGCAGTACTTCGAAAACAAGGGAGAAAACGGCAAAAAAGAGATCACTCATTAAAAAACGTGAAACACAAATAAGGTGAAACTAAGCCCCTTGATTAATGAAACTTTTATTTGTTTTCCGGATTCAAATCAATCTGCATTTCTATTTGCGAGTTGAGTTGGGCTGGGAAAATGGTGATACGTAATATAGCACTTTGCGCCTTAATTCGCTTGTGTATGTAAATATTAAAAACTACTAAAAAACGGAAGCTCGCCATATAGCCATCAGCATGCACCCGAGACGAGTTGCAGCTTTTAAAAAAAAAAACATTTTGCTGTAACCTTACTTGCAGCTTCAAAAATAAAACAAGTAATTCTTAAAATCGACCATTTCAAAAATCGTATCATTTGTATCGAATGTTTTAGAAACTTTACAATTCAATCCAAAAATAAACTTGTAGGATGAAGAATAACTTCAAATGCTTTTATCTACGCCAAAAAAACCTCGCGTTGCTGCCAAAAACACCATTTTACAAGCAAAACCCTTTAACTGCTCGAAATTAACCTTTCGGAAACTAAGCCGAAAAAGCTGCAGTCAAAAACCAGGAAGCGTGGCAAATAATCGGCGAAATACAGTCGAAAAGCAACTCCTATGCTCAGCGGCAAAGCGGAGCTTCGTGCCACTTGCGATACCACATCAAAATTGCATTGCGAGCCCGCATACAGGAATGGAAGGATACCAAGTCCAAAAGAATTTAGAAAAATTTCTAAGACTACAACTAAGAAAAATTTAAAAGAAAACATCGCCTGGAATGATGGTCTATTTTGGAAAAACACGTCCAGCAACACAATTTACGGCGTTAAATGAAAACTCAAAAACAGTTATTTAGTGAAAACTGAGCTGACAAAACTTGGGCACATTCCCGTACAACTGAAAACAATTTTTTTTTTGAAATATCAACTATTCGATAAGACGACAAACTAGCGTTATTACATACAAAATGAGCAGTTCGAATTAAGGTGGTTTTAATATTTCAGAACTATAATGTGGAGAATTGCGTTAAGCTTCGTCTTGAAGTCCCATCAAAAACCGTGGTCGTCTAAACGGCTGTCGTCTTATTCGCGGGCCACCAGACCAACAGTCCCGGAAATTGAAATTCATTTTGAACCAAGATACTAAGTGTGAACCAAAACACTGATTGTAAACATAGATATACAGAAGCAAAATTCCACTTAGAGAACTGCATTGGCAAAAAAAAACAGAACGAAAGAAAAGGCAAAAATAAGCAAGGAAAACTAAAAAAAAATGCCACCTGCTGGTACCAAATATCCGACCAGGACATGACGAGTTGAACTTTCGTCCGCCACGTACCTTCGAACCAACAGTACGATCGAATGTGTAATAAGCTTTATGCGAGACTAAACTATGCGTTGGAAAAACAACTGAAATTTAACTGACAATACACGAAGCAAATATAAATGCGAACAAACTGAAAGACCTAAATGCCTCGATCATTTGACCTTCAGAAACTCGGTGGGGCAGCTGACCACGGCATCCCACACTCAATCTTACAGCTTTGCAGCAGCTGTTGATTTTTAAAAAAACATAGCCAACAAATAGTTGGAAAAGTTATATCTAAGACTACTTGGCTTTTAGTCTATCATCAGTTGCCAGAAGCCAATTATTATATCATCCAAAATTGTGATCAAGAATTAGCATTTACCATCGTTTCAAGTTGCTTGAAAGATTATTCAGACGAATATCCCCGGGGAGAGCAATTAGTTATGGAGAATTAAGGGGTAACCGCTTGGTTCTACAAAATTCCAGTTAAGTCTATAATACTTATTTGGTTCGACTAAGGCAAGTTTCACAGCGGGCCTAGTGAGTTTTACTAGAGCTGTCTTAATTAAGCATGAGCTCGCGATGCCGCCCAGATGCCTTGATCTTCTGCTTGGAACCAATTTGTCCGTTTGATCAAGGTTAGAGCGTCTTCTTTCAGCAATCAATTCCAAAAACTGTCTAGTCGATCCTTTGTTAGCTTCCATGATTTCGTGCCTAATTTGTTGGCTCTTGGTTGTTTAGAACGTAGCCGCAGGGACGTATATGAATGGCCTTCCGAGCGAACGTGGTAAACGGCAATTTGTGACGTGGTAAATGGACACAATAAGAGGCCAAGTTTGAAAAAAAATCTCTTAGGTCTGTCAGATCCTAAATTTAGAAGACTCGTTCTAAATTTAGGATCTGACATCCCCAAATCAAGAAAGAGGCGGAGGGTTAAACTGCCACTCAATTGAATAACACACAGGCTCCATAGTTATTTGCTGTGAAATGTGAAAATTAAATTCCATTTTCGAAACTAGAGATCCATCAGGTTTTTCGTGATCTTTACACTTTTGCTATATCTTTTAAATAAGAAAACGAGCCGAACTTAAACGAACTGAACGAGTCTCTCCCACACTCCCAAATCAAGGAAGCGGCGGAGGGTTCAACTGGAACTCAATTGAACGAGACTGCTCGTATCATGGCGAAGCTCTGAATGTTCCGACTGCCTTTTAAGGTCTATGAAGCAGTAATAACATGAAAAAATTATATGCAAGAAAAAAGAAAATAAAATGAAGAAAATATTGAAAATATTGAAAAATTTGAGATTATTTGTGAAAATCATCCCCCCACACGCCATATAAAGTACAAAGCGACAAAGTTCCAGTAACAAATCAATTATGGCAACTAAGCTTCCTTCAACTAATTTGGAATGATTTCTAAGACGGATTAAATCAACGCTTACGCGTTAATAGCGCGAAATATATCGCGCGTTAATTGACCTAAATTGCCCAAAATGCCAATCTTTAAACCCCCTTCACTTTACGAAAAATGATCATAGGTGAAATATCTTTTCAAATTTAAGCTCAGGACAACAATATCTTATGAATGATAGATACATTAAAAAATTCCGGCAAAAAATGGCTAGTTAAAAAGTCGAAATTTCTCTGAAGTAAAAAAAAAACCCAACCAACCCCGAGCACAAATATTCCGTTATTTTCGTATCGAAAGTCGGAACAATAATACTGAAGCTTAGTTGCTATTTCGTCTGGGTAGAAAATTAACGACCGAGTCATAATTTGCTTGCCTGCTGCAACAAAAATAGCTGGCAATGCTCAGAGGCGAGCGATAAGCCTTCGACATGCTCTGAAAGACTATTCAAATCTTGAATAGATCATGAACGCAAGGAAAGAGTAACAGCCGACTTAGAAAAACAAGACATACTGTCCATTCGAGGCAGTGAACGCAAGAACATACTGTCCATTCTTTTCAAATTTCAAAAGAATATGGATGCCTTTAAGCTCTTTGAATTTCTAGAACCTAATTCGAGATAACTGGCTCAAAAGTGAAATACTAGAACTCATTAGAGCGCATTGGGGCTTAGACGTACGTTGCTTACTGAAAGCGCACCACTAAAAAACGTATCTCCTGTACTAGATCTTAGTTTGCCTTTTCGAATTTCCACTTCGAACTGACCTCGATGTGACTACAGGGATGGCTAAATAAAAAAATTTCACCTAATTTTTATTGATCCAATCTTAATGATGGTAAAACACACTATTCGAATCAAATCGACAAACAGAACTGCATCAAACTAATTAAATTAACTCCAACGAGAGCAATAATAACTCAAGGTGCAATACTAGTCCGCTCTACTAAACGTGCCATTCAAGTTACATCAAAAAACTTCATTGTCTCCCCATACTAGTACAGCTGTAGGTGGTGATCACTTTAGAATCCTCCTCTCAGTCGCAGAACCAAGTGAAGAGTGCTCTCTTTTTGGATGTTATAGTCCGAAAGGGTTCGTCCTGAAAACAATAAATTGTCAGAGGAGACTAAGAAACTAAATTGAAATACAAAGGGTTCGAGAGATAAATCTGTTTTAAATCTGTGATAAATTGTCTTCCGTATCTCGTATTAGATAACTGAGCTTTGAACTTATTGTAACCAACGCAGTTCTTACCATCCTCGAGCTGCTTTCCAGCAAAGATCAGCCTCTGTTGATCAGGAGGGATTCCTTCCTTGTCCTGAATCTTGGCCTTCACATTATCAATGGTATCCGAAGGTTCCACCTCTAAAGTGATGGTCTTTCCAGTCAAAGTCTTGACGAAAATTTGCATTCCACCTCTCAATCTCAACACCAAGTGCAGGGTGCTCTCTTTTTGAATGTTATAGTCCGAAAGGGTTCGTCCTGAAAACGATAAATTATCAGAGGAGACTAAGAAACTAAATTGAAATAACAAGGGGTTCGAGAGATAAATCTGTGTTTAAAATCTGTGATAAATTGTCTTCCGTGTCTCGTATTAGATAACTGAGCTTTGAACTTATTGTAACCAACGCAGTTCTTACCATCCTCGAGCTGCTTTCCAGCAAAGATCAGCCTCTGTTGATCAGGAGGGATTCCTTCCTTGTCCTGAATCTTGGCCTTCACATTGTCAATGGTATCCGAAGGTTCCACCTCTAAAGTGATGGTCTTTCCAGTCAAAGTCTTGACGAAAATTTGCATTCCACCTCTCAATCTCAACACCAAGTGCAGGGTGCTCTCTTTTTGAATGTTATAGTCCGAAAGGGTTCGTCCTGAAAACAATAAATTATCAGAGGAGACTAAGATATTAAATCGAAATAAGGGGTTCGAGAGATAAATCTGTGTTTAAAATCTGATAAATTGTCTTCCGTGTCTCGTATTAGATAACTGAGCTTTGAACTTGTTGTAACCAACGCAGCTCTTACCATCCTCGAGCTGCTTTCCAGCAAAGATCAGTCTCTGTTGATCAGGAGGGATTCCTTCCTTGTCCTGAATTTTGGCCTTGACGTTGTCAATGGTGTCCGAAGGTTCTACTTCCAACGTGATGGTCTTTCCAGTGAGGGTTTTCACAAATATTTGCATCCCTCCTCTCAATCGAAGGACCAAATGCAAGGTGCTCTCCTTTTGGATGTTGTAATCCGAAAGAGTTCTTCCTAAAACAAAATAAACATCAAAATAAACATTTTAAAACGATTTTACTGCAAGTTTGGAACGATTGACCTGGAATACAGCCCATATGTGGACAATCTCACTGTCAATTAGCGCCCCTTACCTCACATGTTCTTTAACTGACTTGAATAAAGTGTGCGAACTGTCTACTCTATACTAAAATATCGCTGGTAGTCAGTAGTCTACTGTTAATCGGACTCTATTTTTTAGAAGAGCATATTAAGGTCTTTACTTTAAAGAATTTGATCAAGGCTCAGTGGTGGTTATTTAGAGCAGGGTAAAACAATTCCGTACCATCCTCGAGCTGCTTGCCGGCGAAAATCAACCTCTGCTGGTCAGGAGGAATTCCTTCCTTGTCCTGGATCTTAGCCTTAACGTTGTCAATGGTGTCCGAGGGTTCCACTTCCAGAGTGATCGTTTTTCCAGTAAGAGTTTTCACAAATATTTGCATTCCACCTCTCAATCTCAACACCAAGTGCAGGGTGCTCTCTTTTTGAATGTTATAGTCCGAAAGGGTTCGTCCTGGAAACAATAAATTATCAGAGGAGACTAAGAAACTAAATTGAAATACAAAGGGTTCGAGATAAATCTGTTTTAAAGATTCCGCATCAATTGTCTTCCGTATCGCGTATTAGTTAACTGAGCTTTGAACTTATTGTAACCAATGCAGTTCTTACCGTCTTCCAGCTGTTTTCCAGCGAAGATCAGTCGCTGCTGGTCGGGTGGGATTCCTTCTTTGTCCTGGATTTTGGCCTTCACATTGTCAATGGTATCCGAAGGTTCCACTTCTAACGTGATGGTTTTTCCAGTCAAAGTCTTGACGAAAATTTGCATTCCACCTCTCAGTCGAAGAACTAAGTGCAAGGTGCTCTCTTTTTGGATGTTGTAGTCCGACAGAGTTCGGCCTGAATGCAATCCAATTTAATAAAATGAACTCAACTCCAACCAGCCTAGAAAATCGAATGCTCCGAAAATTTTAACTTTGCTTACCATCCTCAAGCTGCTTTCCAGCGAAGATCAGTCTCTGTTGGTCGGGAGGGATACCCTCTTTGTCTTGGATCTTGGCTTTGACGTTGTCAATGGTGTCCGAGGGTTCTACCTCAAGAGTGATGGTTTTTCCGGTGAGAGTTTTCACAAAGATCTGCATATTTGGTTGATTGAGTTATCAATTCACTTCTGAAATCAAGAGCTATTATTTTTCAGATAACAAACCGCCAAAATGAAACAATTCAGTGCACAGCTAAAGTCAATTCTGAAATTGGAATAACGAGCTTACCTTCTTTACAATGTGACTAAGAAAAGAGCTAGCAAGCAAAATTTAGAGCTAAATGTATTCAACTGTAGTCCACTGAAGTCTGCTAAGTTATGGTACGACTGCTTAATATAAAAATATCTGCAACTACGGGTCGAATCAAATCTCTGAACGTCATGCTTTTTATTCATTGCTTTCAAATTCCTTCAAAGCTAAACACAATAGACACGAACGCTCTAGAATAATCTAAAAATTACAATGCAAATACCATTGAAAATGTCCGCTGAATTCGATATTAGACTATTTGCCACTACGTGTCGAATCAAATTGCTAAACGTCATGCTATTCGTAGCTTTCAAATTCCTTCAAAGCTCCTTCAATCTAACACAAATAGACACGAATGCTCAGAATAATTAAAACTTACCATGCAAATACCATTGAAAATGTCCGCTGAATTCGATATTTACCAATTTTGGAGAACATATAACTACACCATGTGACGAAATTTGACCCACCTTCGATTACGAGTCGACTTTCGACGAAGTTCGGCTTCTGCCAGGTAAATCACAAGGTGCGGATAGGAATTTGAGACCCACAATTTGTGGATAAAAAGGTTGCGATTCGGTTCCAATGAACTTTCGTTCCCTATTGTCAAACTAGCGAGCTATCTCCCTCTCCCTTATTTAGTTCAAAAGTGAATATTTTCTTCACATACCGTTCCGTAGTTTGAAATGAATCAAGATGAATAACTAACCTTGATGTACGTATTGTGAAATTAAGAACAGAGGTTAGATATTGCAGTCTGTCTGGTAATGATCAAATCAAAGTAATGCTATGCAAAAAGTACCAAATTGAAACAATAAAAAAATACCTTAATTAAAACTGATGTCTCACTGTCAATTCAGTGAAGATTCAAGGTAAAATGAGTATCGATAGTTCTTAAAAAGTCTAGAAGGTCAATTGATTTGAAGGTCAACCGTCTCATAAAACATGACCAATACTGCGAAAAGAACATAAAATTCAGTAGTCAAATTTTATTAAACTCAGCAACAATGTCAAAATAAATCAAGACTTAAAAAAATCAAACTTCAGATTTTTAAGATTTCTAGAAAATATAATTAATTTTGATAAGCACCGATATCACATCTCTATAAAGAAATGCATTTTAAACTTACGAAGGAACAATAATTTGAGCCAACTAACAGAAAACAAAGATTACAATAGCCCGTTGTCGTGTATAGCACGGGGACTTAGCAACCAATTTAATTAATTTAATAAACTGAACAACTCAGTCATGCGGAGCAGCAGCTAGAGACTTTGAGCTAAAGGTAGTAGTCAATTAAGTTAGGCACATTCGGCCAGATACTCGCCCTTCGCCTTTTCGTAAGCCATTCTACATTCGCCAACTTCCCACTTTTTCCCATTCGTACTCAACATGGCGACTCATGTTGCAGTTCGGCATGATCCGAGTGCCAAATCTGTTCGCGTCTGGCATCGTGAACAGCTTCTCACAGTTTGCCAGCTGTATCATAAGGTAGTAGTAGAATTGCATACCTTCAAACCCGAATCTGTCCCAGATAAGCCAACCAGCTTGCCTAACTCTTCCATAATGCACAATGTAATCATCCTCATAAATATTCACGAACCCTTCATAGATAGCCCGAATCAGTCTGTAATCAAATAGCGTATCTAATTGGTATTTCACGTTGCTGAAGTTACCACGCGGGTCAAAAAACGTCGGATTTTGAGCGATTTCTGGCTCAAGCCATTCAATTAGGTTTCCCTCTTCTGGAAAAGGGTTACACTCAACCCACTCAACAATTTCCAGATTCTCTCGAATGATGTCGTCTCTTAGCTCTTCATCATCCAACTTCATTTTTTCATACTTGGCATTTGCTTTCTTAACATAGCCTCGCAGATCCACGCAATGGGTTTTATGGACCTTCCAATCAGCCGTTTGGCATTTCTTGCTGCAGTAAATGGCTACTTTGCACAAGCTGCATCTTTTCACCTGCGGAAGGCTCAGCTTCACCTGACACGTGCCACAATTGATGGTTTTAAGAGCGCTCATAGCACAACACAAGCTAATCTGAAAAAAAAAACACAGGAGTAATCGTGTACTGAGCAAGTAACCGAATTTATGACCACAGTTATTATTGCAAATCTTGTAATTTTCTTTTTGAATTTCACATTATTTCTGTGTTTTTTTTCAATAAACAGGGAAAGCGTTTTCAAAAATTATTGACCTAAATTCTAAAACACTCATCTTCCGATTACTTCATAACATATAATTTGCTACTCAAAAAGACCTTATCTAGCTACGTTATGTGTCATACATCTAATTTCACTTTTCGGCTCTTATCCAGTTTCCCCCTTTCAAATTCAATTATGAAAAGTATATTTAACGTTGCCATAAGGCAATGAAATTTGGCGTGGTGAACAAATCGACAACTGTGAACAGATTTGTTCTTCATATTTTACAGCGTAACAACACGCATTTAGCCGTAATAATAACACGTAAAACAAACATAAAACTCGGTATTTTGAAAGGGGGGACTGGAAAAGAGCCCACTTTTCTGCTAAGATCAAAGGAAAGAATTTATACCAAACTGCCTGCTGGGGGTGCGTGATCTTCAATAGTCTAAACCGAACTAAAATCTAAAATTTATTTTTGGTCCTGGGGGGAAACATTTCCAAATATTTCATGTAGTTCGAATCACACATAAAAGGGTTTAAACATGACACCTTTTCTGCCCTCATAATATCTATACTTTCACGGAAATCACTTAAGAACTCAGCGGGGAATTATTTTAAAGTGGGGGTACTCGAAAAATTACGAAAAACATTTGAGAAAAATTTGAGAGAAGAGAAGGCTCCCGTAAACAAGCCACATCATAATCTGGGGAATCAGTGAAGAAAAAATTATTTCGCCGCAGCCGAGAGGCCCCTGACTGGATAAAAAAACTTTTGAGATGAACTTATAATGATATTCATATCTGAGTCGAAGAAAAGTGTGTCAAAACCAATTTGGCTAGATCAAAAGTTTTGGTCGAAACAGGGGTGCATATACAAAACATTCCAATACAAAATAGTCCGAAAAATCATGTAATGGAGGGAAAAAACAGTCCGATACAAAACTTTAAATAAGCTTTTCCAAATTGAATTTGAAAGGGAGAAACTGGAAAAGAGCCCGCCTCTTCTTACGCTATCTGATTGGTTACCTATTATGTTCAGACTAGAAAACAAGTATTGTTCAAAAAGTACGACGCAGCCCACATCTCGTAGGGCGTATTCTTCGATATGTGATAAACCACACAATCCGTGAGACTCAAAAGCAGCTCGAATTGCGGCGCGAAACACCTTTTATGAATTGAGATACTCGGAGCAGATTGTTTGAGTTTTACGGACTCCTTTGAGGGAATCGCCTACCACTTCAAATGCGAACGGCGGAAAAAAAACTTTAATGTTTCAAATTAAAGTTTTTTTCCGAATTTGAACTTTCACTTCAAATACAGCAATAGTGGCCCGAGATCTGCCCGATATTGGTCTATTTCTACAATTGAGCTTGAATATTTCTTTGATTGTTTCTACTTGGAGCAGTAGTAATGTACCCCCCCCCCCCATTCACGGGTCAAGTTATACTGCTGGATGTAAGACTAAATGTCAAAAGCTGAAGATTACAATAGGTTCATAAGCTAGCACTCAAGCACTGAAAATTAATACTTTCACATATTTACATGATGTCTTCGAGAAAAACGATATATAAAAATCTCCGGGAAAAAATATATCGAACAAGAAAGTCACGAACTAAAAAAAATCTTAGTTGTTGTGATATCCTACATAGAGTTGAAAATTTCCTACATGCGTACCGACTTCGGTGACTCAATTGTGAACGGCAGTTATTTGAGAGAAACGATTGCGGTGTCCTGTCCATGAGCAGGCCTTGACAGATTAGCTAGTTAGAATAATTAGCAGATTTCAAAACCGAAAGAAAGAAAAATGCGCGATACAAGGAGGGATAAATGAAAGTCAAACGAGATTGCTCACATGGGCAAAAATTAGCTACATCAGGAGATAAGCTCCCACAAGCATTATTTTGATTGAACCCGTAGCTACGGAGCCACTTTTTTAGTAACATTTTTCTTTCAAAATTGCCTTTCTTCACTGTTCGATTCAAATTCTTACCACATATTCACTACGTTCATTCGATTGAACTCAACGTCAGTTTTGGCACGATTGCAGCTATTGTAGGCAGGTTAAATTTCGAAAAAGTAACTTCAGCAAAAACTGCGAAAAGGGTTAATTTTCAGAATTGGGCTTTTTCCCATTGAGTTCTCCAAAAAATAAAAAAAATTGCCTCTCTTGTAGAGAAAATATTTGCAACCTTTTCCTATCATCAAACATCAAAGCTTTAGTTTGGCCGGGTAGCTTTTGAGAAAACTTGATAAGTTTCCAAAAAAAACGATCAAAATTCAAAAACTCGACTTCTCTACAAAAACTTTACTTTTTCTCTAATAATGTAGGACCTAGCCCCTTGTCCGAAGTGGACGCTTACAAACGTGTTTTCTCAATTTACCCATTTGATTTTTCCAGACCCCAAATTTAAAAACAAAAATAGGGTGCATCCGCTTGAACAAGTAGGCTTCCCTAGTCCTGTTGTTTAGATTAAATCCTTGACATAAATGGAATTTTGGAATTCGAAAACTAGGGCGGAGCCGTTTAAACAAGGAAAATCCCATAGCCTGTTGTTTCTATTGAAGCTTTAATCAAAGATTTGGTAGGGTAGTTTTTGAGAAAAGTAACTTCACGAAAACTGCGAAAAGGGTTAAACTTCAGAAACTGGGCATTTTCTCGACACTTGGAAAAAAACAAAAAGTTCATACTATAACACATTCCTTTCTAAGTGTAAATAGTCAAAAAGTTTCTCAAGAACCGTCAAAATGTGAAAAAAATGTCTTTTTGAAGATAATGACCTTTCCTGTTAACCAATTTGGGTGTAGCCACCTATGCAGGGAAACTTCACCCAAACCAACCTTTTGATCGAAACCAAAACTGGGGGAGTAGAGGAGTAGTTTTTGAGAAAAATAAAAACTTTCAAGTATGAAAACGGTCAAGTTATGAAAAACGTCCTTTCTTGAGGACCATAAAACTTGTCTTGTTCAATGATTTGGGCGTAGCCGCTTATGCAGGGGAGCAAAAACAGTCAAGTATGAAAAAAGTCCTTTCTTGAGGACCATAAAACTTGTCTTGTTCAGTTATTTGGGCGTAGCCGCTTATGCAGGGGAGCATCTCTCAACACGTGCTTTTGATTAAACTCAAAATCTCAGCTGCGTCAGGGTAGTTTTCGAGAAGAGCGAAAAATGTAAAAGAGGCGAAGCGGAGCTTCGCACCACTTGCGATACAAAACGGAATGACAAAAAAATAAGATAATGTGTTTCAAACGACGAATTTTATTAAAATTATTATGCAATATCAATTACCTTAAACATAACTATTCCGGCTCCACAAACTGAACTCATTTCTTTCAGAACCAATATACCGAAACACGCTCAGAAAACAAATTGGTCAAAAAATCGAGATCCAAAAGTTCCTATATGCACTTCAAAACTTTGCTTTTAATCTTGCAACCAAACAACCTGCTGCATATCCAACAGGAAAACTGACTATAAACATCAACAGAAACAATTGCTATAAACTAAGATTAAGGGGAAAAACCTGAAAACAGCTGAATCTTCACGATTTCTACGAAACAGAAATAGCAGATAATCTGAAACCTAATTAAAATAACCCAATTACAACAAATTTATCATATATGAACTTGATACGTAACGTTAAGAAGGCTGACTTACAACAACAAAAAAGATAATATTAAAGACAAAAACGCTTGTAAAGAAAAAAAATCACGAGAACTCATTTTTTTCTAATATTTTCGAACCAAAAGACAAAAAACAGTAATTAAAAAATCAAACAAAAATATTACAGAAAGTAAACACTCGAAACACAAGCTAAACAATTAAGGAAAGCAGCGATGGAACAGGAAGTAGATATTGCGGAAAATTACATACGAAGTCACGATTAGTAAAATTACAAACAGCAGAAGTAAATCAAACCGCATTTAGAATGTTAATTGCGAACAGCAAAAAAAAAAACAAGCAATTCTACGATGTGGCAACTCAGCCGACAATTAATAAGCCGACACTTTTTTGGAACCGCGATATTTCCTGTTTGAAAAAAAAAACAGATCCTGTCAGATTCAAACGCAGGACCTTTGCCGTCCCAGGTGTGTTCGTTGCCTCCAAAAAAAGTGTGCCACAGAAGCAAAAAATTTGAATTCATTGAGAAGAACCTACATTTATCATTTATAATTTTGACCATTCTGTGAACAAATTTTCTTACCGAAAAAAAGTCCAGTACCCGATTGCAATCCCCTTGCTGATTGCAAGGGTTAAAAAATATGGTTCTAACATTCCTACCGAGAATTAATCGAAGGCTGTAAAACGTGAACTAAGGTAAAAAGAGGCTAGATGTATATACATGCACATAGGGGAGTGGGTGGCCCTTCCATTGGAACAACTTTATTTGAAAATTGTTAGTAGCTTTTGAGAAAAACCAAAATATTTGACAAAAGTGAAACAACCTTCCAAAGCGCCTCAAATTTTTTTAAATTAAATCCCATGAATTTTAATACCTGTTTTTATTTAAACGGAACAAAAAAAATTAAGCCTTCTCACTTCAATCGATCAGAAAATTACCAAAGTATCTTTAGCTTCAGTGTGCTGGTACAACTTCATTGATCGATTTGTAGCAAATTGTATTTGATACTGCCTCTAAATAAACATTATACAATTAAATTTCGAATAACCAAATACAATCAACTGACATTGCCCGTTCTCTCAAATTGTTCAATAGCAAACTGCAACGCATTATCAAACAAAGGATTTTTAATTGGCTGAGAATTATTTTTGTACAGCGGGTCCTTCAACACGTCACTGTAAAGTTCGTATATCTTCCAAAACAGTACGTCCATGTTTTGCTGTTTTAAATCGGATACCACAATGAACTTAATTCCAGTCACTGTCTGAAATATATTCACTTTGAAGTTATCTCCGTCAATCTGTTCGAAGCCTGAGTCGCTAGCAACAGGCGATAAGGTAGCACTCATGGCGTACATGGTATAGAGTAAACTATACATAGTAAGTTCCTCATCGGAAGTCGGTTTGGGTCTACAGAATCGTATAGATAGTGGGAAATTTTGAGGTTCGCTCAGAAAAGTTAGAATCCATTGACCACTTGCTGTCCTCGGCCCCAGAGTCTGTTTTCCATTTATAGCCGAAATAGCGTGTCCAATTTTGACTCCATCTCTTTCTCCGAACTCTACCACAACTCGCTTGCCTTTGTCTGATAGTTTGAGCTGAATGTCTAACGGGTAGGAAAAGGTCTTTTCTATTTCAGGGTAGTCTAGATTCTTCTCGAAGGATTTAATGAGCTGACCTTCTTGATTTATGACCGCCACTCTGTATATTAAACCCATTTTACGGTTATTTTCCTAAACGCCTTGGGTTACTTTTCATTTCAAAATCTGAAAAATTAAATTTAACTTGAAGAACGCTTACATTTAAACAACACACCTGAATTTTCTCGTTCCCTTTTTCTCATCACTGATTTTAAGCATGCCAAAATAAAAAATCGCAATCCAAGCATTCCGTAAATTATTCCGTTGGTTTTCGGGAAAAGGGTATAGCGAGATCAAATGAGATACTAAAAGGGATCAACCGATCATTGAAAACTCAAAACCGATGTACAAAATATAAATTATCATCTGTAAATTCTAACTATCAAACATTTATTTTTAGCAATGATTTCGATACAATTATCAAAAGGGCAATTCAGAATTGGAAAATAGAAAGTTACTCGACGAGACAGAGAATGGCTCAACGCTTGGAGAACTCCAGTTAAATTGGCTATTATTAGAGCTACTTTGCACGTTCGTAGATGCGCGAGCAGATTGATCTGTGCGGTTCTCTAAAGATTTTTTATTCCAGTTTTTGTTGTTCATTTCTATTCTCGGTTCTTGTGGATGGTTTTTCTGTTGAGACGTTTGGTAGACGAAGTTCTTGATGAGATGTCTCGGAGCATTAGTTGATAGCTCATTTCCAGCTTGTGTTACTCGTTGCTGCATGCCTTCGATTCTAGAAGAGCTTGGATAACTTCTCTTTTGAGTTGGCATAGCTGCTGGATTTGAATTACTTCGTGTTTGTTTTTCATTCGCTTCTCTGCGACTGCTATTATCTGATTTCTCAGAAGGAACCTGATATGGAAATGAATGCTGGAACGAGCTAGGGTGCTGCATTGCTTCTACTGTAAAAGTCTGGGCATTGCTCCCTTCCAAAAACGGGTTAAACGTTACACTGCCTCCCGGTCCTGAAGCCGCGACGTTAGAATTCGAACTTATGTTATTCGAACTATTGCGAGCCATAAACTCGACATCTTTGAACCCGGAAAAAGAACTTGACTGTCGAAATGTATTGGTCTTCTCAGCTGGAGTCAAAGGCTGCAACAAAACTTCTGGCTCCAGGGGTTGCTGTTGGAAATTTCCTGAATTTGTACTGTACTGAAAACTTGGCGCAATCGGTTGGCAGAAGTTTGAGAAGTACTTGCCAGGGTCAGCTAACTCATTGGCAGTATTCACATAACTAGGAGCTGCTAATGCAGGCGGTGGAATCACGAAACCCTGACTTGGTCTGTAGTCCGAAATTCCTGTACTAGAGTAATCGGCAGAACTCGAATCATAAGCATAGCAGCTATTTACGTAATAGGGTCCCTGGTATTGCGTTATACTTTCCCTGCAAGGCTGCGTCACGACAGGGTAGACAAATGATCCGCCAGTTGATACGAAAGAATTGCCATAACCTTGAGGAGGCATGACAACCATATTTTCTTCCCAGAACGGCAACGGTGCGGGGGTGACGAAAGCTTGCTGAGTTGGATATTGCGGTGGAAGGTACGCAAAACTCGAATCATTTTTGTCTGCTGAAACTGCAGCGCCTGCTGGTTGGCTCGCTCTATTAGAACTTGTTTTCTGTTTCTTAGAGATCGGACTAAACCAGTTCTGACTCCCGATTTCATTGTTTTCGTGATTTTCCTGTAAAGTCCTCTTAGTTCTATCAAGACTATTATGATTCTCATTTTCGAAAGTGATCTTTCTTTTCACATTCGAAAACTCACTAGCATGTGGCGGATTCACCTCGAGACACCGTAGCTCCTTCCCTCTTGCATTTGACAAGTTTCTGTTCAAATCAGGTACGTCCTTTCGATTTTGTGCCAGATATGTTCCAGTATTTTGTGACCTCGGATGATTTGGAATAGAAGACCCACTTGGCATTATCAGTGCTTCAACTGTATGAGAACTTGCCTTGGAGGCCGAAACATTTCCAGCTGAATTGATTTTTTTGATCCTGTAACTATCAGAACCGTCAAAATCATTTCTTGTCGAGAAATTATTCTGTGTAGATTGATATCGTTGATTCATGGATATTTCCGTCGATATTTCACTTGTCAAATTTCGAATAGAAAAATTTGATGATGAACTTGCAGTCATCAATTCTTGAGGACAACCTGAATTTATTAGATGTTCATTCAAAGTAGTATTGCTCGAATCAAATGTTGCCGAGTTGATGGGGTACGGATTTGAGAAGTCATCGTGATTTGCTATTAAGCTATCGATGTCGAATAAAGTTGATGACCTAATAGCCTGGTCCAGATTAGCATCTGCTTGCAGTTGGGTGCCTATTTCATCAATAGACGGCACTTTTTTGTTATCATCTTCGATGCGAGCCAAGCTGAAAATCGATGGCAGCACGCGCCTTTCATTTCGGTGATCAGACAAACTTGGAACTAAATCCTTTAATAACTCGTTTCCACTTTCAATCCGTGACGTTTTCAGGGGTTCTTTGTCGTTACTAGAAACGAGGCTCATAGAAACCGGTTCGCTCGTTGGCACACTCTCATCACTTGCTTCACTGGAAACTGCCTGGGTTGCTTTATTTGTTTTTTCAAGTACACTTTCTCCATCAGTGCGGCTAGCCAGCGTATTTTCCGTAGATTTTGATCTATTTCCCTCTTTCTCAAGACCAGCTAAGGTGGAGCTTGAAGATATAACTGGAACTAGGCGAACTGTTTTTCCGCCTATTTTAATCTGACTCAGCGTAGAAAGATCTAGAGCTAGAGGAGTTTGCGATGACTGCGAACTAAAATGTCCTTTTCTAGCGACCGATTTCTCCGATGTACTTGAATCAACAAGAGCATTGGTAAGCTGGACAAAAACATTGCTAGAATTCTTGTAAACAATTTCGATCATCTTTCGCCGAATGAATTGCTTGATGTCATCTGATACATTGAACACTTCACAACTTTCAACTTCGCTCTGTTTCCAACCTCTATCGCAATCCTGGGTTTTACAGTTTTCTTCATTGTGAGAGGAAGTCGCTTCATTATTTAGTTTTGATAAACTAATAACATTACCGGGTCGCGCTTTGTTATCCTTTTTAACAGCGGCTTCGTCCGATTGGTCCACTGTTAGATCTACAACAAGTTGCTCACCACCTTTAAATACCTCATCAGCTGTTTTTTGAACTTGACTGTCAGGGGTATCATCAGTTTGCGAAATTGCAACTTGACTCTCTGTGTTCTTCGCTGTTTGCTCAGAGAGAGCAGCAATGAGTTGAAATTCCTGGATGTCGGACAGACCTGCATGTCGGAGCAAGCTACGCAACTGTTGGTTTTGAGTCTTGTAATAAGACACCTCAACATTTTGGATGGCTAAACAGATATTTAAAAAGGAAATTGATTCTTTCTGACATTTTTTCATGAATCAAACCAATACAAGAAAACAGGGTCAATAGATATTTTTGGTCAACTAAAAATCTAAAAAATCATCACTTTCAAAATTTAAAATCTAATCATGTTTTTTCGCGTCGTTCGTGATTAATTAGCGTAATTTGCCTTCCTTTTAGGAAATGAAAGTTGATTTGAAAAGAAATCGAAATACAAACAGCGGAAAAGGGTGAACCAATTTCAAGAAAAAAGGAGAGTCGGTTACTGTGCAACTAGCGGAATGTTCCGACAATGTCTTAAACCATGCAAAAAACGTTTTTTTCTAGAACTAAGGCATATTCGACAGTCATAATAAAATTGGCATACTGAAAAACAGTTTTTGTAGAAAAATGAATAGAAAAACGAAAAAAAAAAATTTTAAAATCAAATAAATTCAAAAACTAATTTTACTCGAAAAAAGCTTTCACTACTTAAGCTAAGCATAAATAAGCTATTTGAAGCCAGCTCGCTCACCTTATTCTCGCGAAATTAGACCAAAAATCAAAAATTTCGGAAAGGTTTTCTCGACACTGAGAAATTTTTTCAAATTGTTTGAAGTCGTTGGAACCACGACTGAAAAGGCTGTAATATGATATATTACTAGACACTTTCCGATGATTCTTTGAGGTACCTGATTTTGCGTGGAAAACAAAAGAAAGAAAACAAATTCACACGCGAATACCAATTTCCTATATATATTTTTAATGGTCGGAGCAAAAAATGTAGCCGGTTGCTGTGCAAGTAGCACGTAATGTTCCGACAACCATTAAAAAACTACAAAACGGTCCTTTTTGGGCGCTATGTGATAAGAGAACTATCAAAACGCGTATAATGTTACTGAATTAGGCATAATCGACAACATTTACCTTCAAAAAACAAACCAAAAACTGCGCTCAATGGAATTCATATAACTATTTTGCCGTTTATAATACTCAAAGTTTTTAGCCTAAATAACAAATTTTGATATACTGAATGTTACTCGATCGCTTTGCTCGACTTAAATCGGTTTTTCCCAAAACTGGTATAATTTTTTGAATTTTTTAAATGTTCGAATCACGGCTGAAAGGGCTTTTTTATGCTAGATCATTTCGATAATTATTTGGTGCACCAGATTTTCCCTGGAACACAAAAATAAAGAACATACGAGGCCGAACTGGTCATTGGATAGGCGCACAACTTGATGTGTGTAAGTCTCAGAAAAATTTTTTGGAAAAATATTGTCCGCTTACAATTCACAAAATGCACAATTTGGCCTCGTAATGAGAGTATAACACACCCGAAGACAAAGTTTCTCCCCATTTTCAAAATTCGGAACTAAAACAATCACTTCGCTCATTCAATTTTAATTTAACTTCAAGAAACGCGAGCCACTATACCTTTAGAATGTAGTTTTTCACAATCCTTGACTTTGATAATTAGCTCATTCAGAAACTCCAAGGCTGCCGCTAGCACTTCATGGATTTGCTGTAACAAAACAATTCATATATTCCGCTTCATTTTTAATCATTAAAAGTAGCTAAAGCTGATTGCGAGATTTTTAAGAACCTCAGTTTCGTACCGGTTTCTGGGACTGAAGTTTCTGCGACGGTATCAATTCTCGAAAGCAATTAATTAGATTCGATATTTTGTCTCGCCTTTGTCTCTCCAAAAAATTTCTACTCTCTGTTTGTGCATCTGAACCCTTCTTTCCCTTCGTCATTCATCGAAATCGATTATTTCATTCATTAATCTATTGAAAATTCATATTACGTAATTATATTAAGAAAGAGTAGCTCGTAGCTTGAGAATACCACAAAGTCTCCTAACAATATATCTTTTCACATTAAGGAATTGCGAAGATTTGCCGTTTATCCCAAAAATTCTGGCTTCAAGAAAAACTTTGAAAATAAAGGCGATATCAGGCAAGCGTATCATTGTAAGCTAGCAAATAGAAAACGACTCAAACCAGTGATTTAGATACGGGTAATCAGAAGGTCAAAAGTATCGTAGTAGCCGAGGTTACAGTCAGGAGTTCCTTCATCACGTATTCCAGTCAAAATCCTTGGAAATTTCTAGATATGGAAGTGATAATAATATTGCTCTTGTTGAAGAAATCTAACCCGTATCGATTTTAATTGTAAGGACATCAACGCGTGTCATCTTCTTTTATCATTATCACTTCAATATCTAGAAAATTTCAAGGATTTTGACTGGAATACGTGATGCACGGACTCCTGATTGTAACCTCGGTTACTACGATACTTTTGATCTTCTGATTACCTTAAAAAAGTAAGAATTTTTTAAAATTGTTAATTCAAACGTTTTCGCACATTTTGTGCATCGTCAGGATATAAAATTTTTTATTTACAATAAAATGATCAAAGATCATGTATGAAATTCAAAAAGAACAATTTAGAAATTTTTAACCAATCACATTCTTACATCTGTTATTACGTAATCATTATTTCATCGATTATGACAATTTCCATACTTTTTTGTTACTTGAGTCATAATTTTTCGATTTGATGTTTTATCCAAACTGACATGTCAGTTTATTTTTTCAAAAATTGCAATTTTTAGTCATGTTTAAACATGTACTAAAATTTTAATGTCAGCTCCCTGCTCCTGAACTCCTCGCGCGTGTTAATTCTGGGGCGTTCTTTCAAAATATGTAAGGCCTCCAGAGTGAGGAGTTTCTGTATGTTACTTGATTGATCTATAATCTCAGACTTAAGCTCAGCGATCTTTCCATCCCTGTCACATTCTCTCAAATGTTGCCCTACTGGCGAATCTTCCTTGTGATGCTCTTCAATCCGCGTGGTCAAATGCCGGACCGTTTGTCCAACATAGGTGGAATTACATCCACTACATGTGAGCTTGTAGACCACTCTGGATTTCAAATCTTTCGCAAAGGGAGATTTAAGGGACGGTAGGCAAGTCTTGAGCTTTCTCGTAGTATATATCACTTGGGCTCCGGCGTTTTGACGCAGTTTGGCAGCAAACCACTCCGATGCATTACCCCGGTATTGTAATGTTAAAATGGGTGCACTGACCTGTAAAGGATCTTCCTTGACTGATGTTACCGTTGTTCGTGTGTCAGTTTTTCGGTCGATGATCTTATTCAACGTTCTTAATACGACACCATCTGACCATTTTTCAGGGTATTGATTATCCACCCAATGTTCTTTATTAATCTTCATTGCCTTGTCAAAGTTTTCCCATGTTGATGTACTTCTAAAAATCCGATGAACAGTACCCTCAACTACATTGCGTTTATATTGCAATGGAGCGCAGCTTCTGAAGTTAAGGATAGTCCCAGTATCCGTTGGTTTTTGATACCATCCACATGTTACCTTTTTTCGTGAGTCCACATTAATGTTCAAATCTAGAAAGGCTGAATCTCCGTTCAAATCCGGATTTTCGATAGTGAATTGTAAGTTGGGGTGGAGCTCATTAGCTGCTTTTAACACTATATCTGGATCCCCCTTTACCGTCCTCACTATATCATCTACATATCTTAGGAACGCTTTGACATTTTCTGTTGGTTTTTCTTGATCTCGCTGCTCTTTACATCTCTTACAATACCAAACCATTTCTGAGATTTGCTCATATTCTTTGTCGGATACATTACTACACTTTAAATGGTACCAATTTAAACAAGCTTCGCATTCGATCCCCTTACTTCTGTATGTTACCCTCCGCTCGCAATCAGGGCATAGGCCATTCCGGTTTTCATTTAGCTGTGTCAACGCAGGTACTTCCTTCTTTAATGCATATTCGTTTTCCTTTAGCCATAAATTGGCAAGAATGACAGCAAGGGATGCACCCATTGCCAACCCATCCTTTTGTACGTACCATAAACCATTGCATTTGAAGTGCACCTTACTTACAGCCATGTTCAACAATTTCTTCATAGTTCCGCGTGCCAGTTTAGGAGGACTAGTTTTTTCGTACAGTTTCCTCAGTGCTATATCTATTGCCTCCTTTAGTGGGACATTAGTGTACAAACTTTTGACATCCAGGGAGATAATACTCTCATTATAGTCTAGATCTATGTTCTCTATGATCTCCCGAGCCATTTGTGTGTTTGTCTCAATGTTTGCCCCCTCAATGTTGTCAAAAAATTTGGCCAAAGTTTTATTTAGATGTTCATATGAGCTCCCTGGCAGTGACAGTACGGGACGGAGAGGGGTTCCTTTCTTATGTACTTTAGCCAATCACTATAATCGAGCTGGCTGCCCTCCCGTGGACCTAAGCCTACTATACAGTGCCTCATCGATCTCATCTTTCTTTTTCATGGCCAACAGTTCTTTGTTGATGTCTTTCTCAATTTTCATAACAACACTATCAGTTAAACCTGGTTTTTCGCTAAATTGTTCCGATTGCAGCAGCTCAGTTAGTTTAGCCTCATATGTCGTTTTCTTCATTACACAGAAGCCAACACCTTTATCGAATGGGACTGCCAAGAGACCATTGTCCTTCAAATACTTCCTGGCTTTCTCAATCCCTCTATCCGAGAGTGTTTGCCGCACACGTTTAGCGTATGATTTTGCAGCAGCTTCAATTTCACATAATTTTTCACCTGGTACCTTTTGCGATTTAAGCTCAGATAAAAAATTATCAATGTCCGCAAGAAAGTGAAGTTCATTGAAACGATCCCTCACCGGGTGCTTTGGGCCAAAACCTAACACTTCATGAACCCACTTGGGTAGCTCAATGCCATCTAGTGCTCTGACCGATTTGTCATTCACTTTCTTTAACGGTCTGTCCTGCCGCTCTGCTAGCTTTTTTAACTTCTTTTCATGTCTATCCTTGATGTCATGGATAGCAATTCTAGCCTGTAGCTCTAGATAAAATGCTATTGAGGGCCACCATTGTTCATCTATCCCTCTCCGCACTACCTCTCTTGCCTTAGCTAGATCATCGTCTATCTTCTTCTCTTCTGACCTTGCCTGATTTATCTCTGTTCTTAGGAGTTTTAATTGAAAGCTATGCACCGCTTGGTCCGAAAAAACCCCATTTTCTGGCACCCGAAATCTCAAAAAATCTGGTATTATGTCATTGCTTTGACATTTCCGTAAAAACTTCAATCGATGGAAATTGTTGTTTAATTTATTTGAATACTTCAGGTAATTCAAAACTAATTTCCAAGTTTGTTTTTTCCTGAGTATCCATCTCAGCATCGGTGGGGGCAAAACCACGGCGGTCATTATCCTGCAGGCCACGAGCACTTAAACTCATGCGGCTCTCAGCAGGATAATTCACACAGTAGATTCACTTACCCAATCCGCGCCCTTTCAGCCGATGGTAGAGAGACGTCAGTCGTTGTTTCCTCTCTGCGTGCCTTCGCCTTGCGTCGTTCTTGTGATGGTTTCTGAGTCCGCGCTCTTATCTTTGAGAATATCGCGGGCAAGTTCTCTCTATGTGTCAGCACAACTCGCAATGACTTCAACTCAAGTTCGCTCGATTGATGAACTTCCAGGTATTGTCTCACCAAAGCGGGATCCTGCCTCTTGCCTCTCGAGATCAATTTCGTTGTTGGGACTATCAAGATCCCTGTACGCATCAGAGAATCAAAGATATCTGTCTTTCTGGTTCTTCTGCAATATATAATCGCCTTAAACCGATGTCGCTTTGATTGCAAATACGTAATTAAAAGTAAGTTAAAAGTTTTTGAACCATATTTTTCAGTATCAAACAGATTGCGAATAAAATTTTGGTAACCGAACTGACATAATAATTAACACAACGATTTCAATTTTCTTGAAACGGAAAGCATTTAAACAAAAGCTTTATCTATTAAAAAAAAACTTTGAAAGCCATGCCATGACAGGAATTTTTTTTAAGGGGTCAATTATAATGGGCCCTTCCGTCATGCGACACGGTACGTGCACATGTTGGATAGGGCCATACCAACGCTATATATAAATATATCGACAAAATTTTATGATCACCGAACACAAAGAAAATTTTAGGATACCAATATCTTTCATGTGACAGAAAGTATTCGAAATCAAATAGATTCAAAAAAAAATCGTACATGCAGCTTTATTAGATCTTTCCAAGGCTTTTGATTCTATTTCGCATGAAGTTTTAATTGAAAAAATGCTTTCTCTCGGTTTTTCAAATGTAGCAAATGCTTTAATTGCTAGCTTCCTAAACAAACGTATTCAAAGAGTAAACGTCAATGGAATTTTTTCAGACTGGATTGAAATCAAACGAGGTGTCCCACAAGGAACGGTACTTGGTCCGTTCTTGTTCAATTTATATCTTAATGACATACAAGAGCGATTATATGAAGGTTGTACTTTAGTTCAATATGCTGACGACTGTATGGTTTTTTCCTCTTCTATAATTTCTGAGGATGCTTTGAATCGATTGCAAAAATCACTAAATAATATAACGGAATTTTTTGCAGAGAACCAATTGAATCTGAATGCATCTAAATCGGAATTTAAAACATTTTGTCAAAAAAATGATAGCAAAAATGTAGATACTGATACAATAGTAATTAATGGGCATTATGTAGCCAAAAAATCAGAATGCAAATATTTAGGCCTTATTCTTGATTCAAGTTTATCTTTTCTTGCACAAATCAAAACAATTCTCCAAAAAATAGCACAAGGAATTAAAGCTATAGATACAATTGGACAACAACTGCCGACATTATCATTAATTGCCTTGCTTCATTGTCTTGTTTTTATCGCATTTAGATTATTCAGCAATATTTTTAATACAAATTAATGCTACTTTGATGCTATCTCTAGAGAAACAGTTGAACTGGGCGATAAAAATAACATATTTCAGATCGAAATTTAAATCTTCTTCCCTTCTTCGCATTAGCAAATCGTTCATTGGAATCGAGAAAAGAATTGAGTTAAAGTGTATAACATACTTATACCAATATCTTACAAACAAAAAGAAGGCTTTTCAAAATACATTGAGACTA